ACAAGACTCTAACGTATCCCTTGCTGTCCCTTTTCTGTTCGACCAGGGCACTGTTTAGGAACCTCTGATAGCACCTGTAAAGGTCTGTGAGAATAAGGCACATGTATACTTAAATAGGTGCTTGGTGTCCCCTACCTAGATATAAACTATTCTAGGACGGAGACCTTGATTATTTTCATCCCTGTGTTTCCATCACCTGACCAGACACCTGGTACTACCAGTTTTAAATCAATATTTAATTAGTTTAATAATGACTGTGGAATGTGAGTTGAGCTTTTAAGAAAGGGTAAAACTCAGATAAGGGGAACTTAAAGGTTGGGTTTTCCAAGAATGAACAAGGGAACCAACCAGGTGACAGAACGCCCCAGAAGCCTGTGGTCAGCGGTCCTGGAGAAACGATCAAAAACCAGTACTTTAGCACCATTAATCTGATTGCCAGGTCTTCGGAGCTTGGTCTTCATTCATTCCACTTTTAAACAATAACGCAAGCTTAAGTTAATAGTCCCAAACTTTCGTTGCTGTAATCTCAGAATCATTTCCTGGATTCTTAGATCCTGGTGTACTTTCCTTACCTCTTTCTCTGCTGATCATATAGTGGAACAGGGGCAGGGAGGGGGTAGAAAAGTCAAAAAAGAATTCTACTCTTTAACACTGCATTGATACTTTATGCAAACACACACAGTTTGGGGGTGCCAGTAGGGGAAAGTAGCCCTGACCGCCAGAATTCCCCATCACCAACATGGAAACTCCTTAAAGCCAGAAAAGGTTTCTTTCTCAGCTTTCCCAACTTAGGATATGAGCACACATCACACAAATTAATAACATCAACATTAAAAGCATTCATCCTGTTAGTTCAGTCATTCTGCAAACCGAGAAGCCTCTGGTTCAAGACGGATCATGTCACACTCCACAGTCATAACAAAGCAAAAAAGGCAAGAGCAGATGATTTAAAGTGAACAAAACACTCATCTTCCATTCCTTGATGGGAAAGAGAGGTTCTGACCTCATTTATCTTGGGTAAGTGAATTACTCTGTCCTTGAAATTCTACTAGCAGCCAGAGCTCGGTATTTACTAGACAGACGGGGAGTCATTACTTTAGGCCGTTTTCAAGCAACCCCTCTGGGAGGCCCCCCAACCATCACCCACTTCTCTACTCTGTAGCCACATGGCTGTGCTCTGTGTGTCTCTAATTAAAGAAGACATTTTACATTGAATATCTTTAGGCAGATGCCCAACTAGTAAAAGTCCCTGGAAATTAAAACCATAGTCTTGTCCTCAGTAAAGGACATTGCACACAGACTCCCCCGGTGGTTAACAGAACAGGGAATTGGAAAAATCTGTTGAAAAGGAGTGAGTTCCTCACTCACAAGGTAGAATGTTGCATGGACATTGCTCAATGGATATTCCCAGTTTCATAGATGAGCTCCTTGAGATAGGCACACCCAGAACTCAAAGACATTCTGGAAATGCCATCAACTGAGAAATTATGAACATCAGTATGAACTGGTGAGACAGTAGACTCGACATCTCTGCAGAAGATGGGAAGACCCACATGGGAAGCTGAGGCTAATAAACGACCACATTTAATGGGGTGAGTGAACGTGTATGAAGAATTGCCCCCTCGATCTGACTCAACTTTTCTCTCTGCCTTTGTTCTGTGACCAGGAGAAGACCCTGTGGACTATAGTGCCTCAGGCCAGTCACCTTTGCAAAAGATGGGGGTGTTCTGCTGGTAGGAATGCAAACTAGTACAACCACTATAGAAAACGTAGGCAGGTTCCTCAAACTGCTTAACATGGAGCTTCCATATGACTCAGCAATCCCACTCCTAGGTATCTACCCAAAAGACACAAAAACACTGATCCAGAAAGATACCTGCACCCCCATGTTTACTGCTGCTTTATTTACAATAGGAAAGACATGGAAACAACCCAAATGCCCAAATGTGGATGACTGGATTAAAAAGAGGTGGTGCATATACACATGGAATATTACACAGTAATCAAAAAAGATAAACTCATGCCTTTTGCAGCAACATGGCTGGAGCTGGAAGGGACCGTGCTTAGTGAAATCAGCCAGAAAGGAAAAGAAAAATACTGATGGCTTCACTCATAGCAGGAGCATAAAGGACCAGAGGGAAAATAATAATAATAATGATGAACAACTATATACCAGAGACATTTTACGGGGGTGGAGTAGGAAATGGGATCAAAAATTGTGAGGGGGGGGGAAGTGCCCAGGACTATGGTGATGGCACACACGGGTGATTTGGTGATGGGAAACCCATGGGGATTACAATTGAGATGGGAAAAGGCCCAAATGATGTAAAAATAAACTGTCATAATAAAAAAAAGGGGGGGTGCTGTGAGATGGGAAGTATCCCCCACTGTGTCCCCCTGGGCCTGGGTGCAGCTCTCATTGAGTGCGAACAGCAGAGCTTGCTTCATCGCCTTTCTGGCACCTGGTCTTGGCACCTCAACATCCTGTTGGCTCCTATAAGGCTGCCCTCAGCTCCTCAGTAGTTCACTAGCAACCACTAGGTGGATTCTGAATTCTGCCAGAGCCCTGTCTGATAAAAGGATCTTCTATGTGGGTATTTTTTCTAAGCACAGTTTCGCCACACCAAAGTGTAAGTCTCATCCTCGACATCTCCCATCCCTTACATGAGGATGGTGAGGTCCCCAGAGGGTGGGGCCAGAAAAGAGCCAGAAAAGCAGCCACAGAGGAAGTCTGCAGGCAGAGTGGGAATGACACCCAGTCTGTCTGATCTTTAAAAGGCCTTGAACATGTGGGGGGGGGGACATGCCAAGCTTCCAAATTCTCAAGCCACCCTTTCGCCTCAAACCACATTATTTGTGGTCTGGGATTTTCCCTGGACCTAAAAATAACCTACCTGGGGCTTTGCACTGGAAATGTTTTTTCCACCTACAATCACTCAAGACTTCATTCTGCAAGGGGGTTGGGCAGTTGGGGGTCCTGAGCGCTAACAGATCACAGGTGCTCCTTCTTTGCTCATCGCCCACATTTTTTCTTCAGTTCCTCCCAGAAATCCTTCCCTCCCAGTTTCAAACATCCCCAAGGCTCTTTTGTTCTTTTTCATAAATTAAAAACAGAGCTCCTTTAACAGAAGGAGAGTGGGAATGAGGGTAGATGCTGTTAAAAAGCACTTAACAACACCCTGCTTCCAGGGTCCATTGAGCTATCACTTTCCATCTAAAAAGTCTCCATGGGTTCCTCTCTAGAGCTGCGCAGATTAGGTTAAAACAAAAAATACAATCAAAATACAAGGTGATGAGGGGGTGGAGGAGTAAGTGAAAAACAAACTCCTGAAGGAAATGTGACTGAGTTATCCTTTGTGCTACTCTGGGGCCTCCCTGGTGGCACAGGGGTTAAATCTCAGCGCAATGAAGTGCAGCCACTGTAGCACAAGTTGGAGTTCTATACCTGGCCAGGGAGCTGACCCACAAAACACAGCAGACCTCTCCTGTCCCTATTCGCTGCTCCCCTCAGCAATGTATTTCAGTCAATACGGCTGTTTTGCTCCCCACTCAATCTCTGGTGAATTCTCTCACCACCCTCCACCCGGCCCCAGCTGCAAGGGGTTAAGTCTAAGAACTATGAGGCTATCCACAGTCACTGCAGCACCAGTTCGATCCCCAGCAAAGGAGGCGACCCACATGGCACAGCAGACCTCTACTGTCTCTCCCACTGTTCTCCTCAGCAGTTTACTTAGTCAATCTGCCTGTTCTGCTCCCCACTCTGTCTCTGGGGAATCCACTCAACACCCCCCGTTTCTGGAGTGTACCCCAGAAATTGTGCTCTTGTATGCATAAATAAATAAAATAAATCTATATAAAAAAAGAGTCTGCTACTTTGCCTTCGCCTGGGTCTCTTGTACCCAAACTACAAACAGCACAGTAATTTACAACAAGAGTTAGCATCCCATTTTCCTAACTTCTGTGTTTGCCACTGATGAGAAGGCAACAGTCAGATCCACAGAGGGAGTCAGGGAGGAGAGTAGCTCAGTAAACAACACAGAACCGCCCAAGTCTCACTTCCTCCTTGCTGAAGGAATGTGACTAGAAAGGACAGCAGGTATGTTCTTGTTTGAAAAGGAGAGGAAAAAAAAACACTAATGTATGGCAAAATGGGAGAAATTCAGCATGAAACAAAGCCGTCAGAAGTGAATGAGGTCCCTTCCAGTTCACTGTTCCCACCACTGAGTTAGTGACTCACCACAGACTACAAGACAGCACCTCAAGAGGAAAGAAAATGAGAGCCTCAGGAAGATTTCTTACCAGGAATGACTGTTCCTTGTTGCCATTTTCAATTTAAGGGTTCCTGGAAGGTTCCGATAACTTCCACATTCAACAAAACTATGAAGGCTTCTCCCACTAACGTGTCCTATTCAGGAGTCTGCAACCTCAAGGATAAACCGACTGAATAAGGTTCTCCAGAACTAGAGTCCACAGGCCAAGCACGGAACAAAATCATCATCACCCTGCTTTGACAAGTCTCGCCGCTCAAGTCTCACACCAGAGCTGCCGTTTCAAAACTACAAGTGAAATCAGGCTTATTTTTACGTAACGTCATCTTAATGAACAATGATAAGAAGAACTTGACTATATTAGCAGAAGAAAACACTTGATTCTCATTTATCCAACCTGCTTACAGGAAGCGAGTCAGCCCAAAACTTCAAACAAAAAGAAAGAAAAAAGTTCACTGGAACCTGTCGTGCGGAGTATGTCAACGTAGAAGAACAAAAACGTCAACTCCAAAAATAAACAAACAAACAAATGAATAAAACCCACCTGTCCTGATTTGCAGCGCTAAAATTCTGCTGCAGGGGCGGGGACCCAGGTAGACCACACTCCCTCGCTTCCCCCACCACCACCACCACGCCCCCCCACTACCACCAGCCCCAGGCTCCCCGCCGCCAAGGGCTCTGGGAAGATCCCAGCGCCCCGTGCCCCTGCGGGCCCCCGCGGCGCCCGGTTACCTGATCCAGCGGGATGCCCAGGAGCTCGCTGAGCGGGTGCAGACAGGTGGAGCCCGTGGTGCGGTAGGAGAGGCTGGACGACGGCTCCGCTGCCATCCTGCATCTTCAGGAGGCGGCAGCCCCGACCGCACCCCGCTTTCAGCGTCCTCGCGGCCCCCGAGTGCTCGCGGGTGGCTCAGCGAAGGGGCGCGCGGTCGCCTCGCTCCGCGGACCCAGCAGCGAGGCCCCGGGACGCGAGCGGCGCAAACTCCCCGGGCGCAAACTTGGCTTTGGCGCAGCGGCCACTGGCGCGTAGGAGGCCGCGGCCCAGCGCGCTGGGCTTCCCGCTCCCCTCCTCTCGGCGCTCATTGGCCGGCCTCCCGGGACAGCCCCGGGAGGGAGGGAAAGCGGGGACCCGGAGCCCAGCCCCCGCGCGCCACCCGGCCCGCCCAGCCCGGCTTGAACCTGGGCCACCCGGAGCGGGAAAGCGTCGCCAGCGGGCGCAGCCGCCTCGCCCTGCGGCTGGAAGCGCGCATCCCCGCAGGGCGGAGGCGCCTCGCTCGGTCCTCCTCCGGGCTCGCCGTCCAGTCTCCCCGCCGCACGATCCGACCACCACCCCCAACTACCCGGCTGGCGCCTTTCACCGGAGAGCGCCCTCCGCCCCACCTAGTTCTGGTTTCGCGGCAATGGTGGAACATCCCTGCGGGTCCCCGCGCCGGCTGACTTTGCCTGCGCTTTTCTTCCGAGCGTTCTCCCTCGCCGCCCTTTCTGCAAAGGGTAAATCTGCCCGATTACTGAAACTCAGGGAGATCCCCGCACCTCCGCACTCACTTCCCTTCTATTCGTGGGGCAAGACTTAACTTCCTACACTCTGATCCGACAGGTCTGTGTCACGAAAGCCAATGCACGCCCCGGGAATGAGACTTACTCCCCCTGTAAGAGCGGGGCTGCTATTACAAGACTTGCAGTCCGCGTGTCTTGCAAGCATAACTTCTAAAAAGAGGTACAGGCCCCTTCCCTTCTTCTCTGTCCCCAAACACCCAACTGCACCTTGTACCTGGAACTTGGGAGTGGTCCTTGGAGCAACCCCCAACCCCCAGTTTACCGGTTTATGAGTAGGTTTTGAATATCAGATCACTCTGGAAGATCCTTTCCAGGATAGGCCGTATGCATGTGGAAGGGGTTTAGGAGAGTAGTGCTCTGAGCTGATATGCAGGAAACCAAAAATACGGAATTCATGTGCACCTGTATTCAGGCTTCCTCCTTTTCCCAAACCGAAGCTAGTCCCAGCAGGTAACCAGGGAGCAGTTACCCGGGATTCCTTGGTGAAAAAGCCAACCAAATAGGTAGGTGGTGACTTTTGGGCAGAGCTGATTATCAGTGTGGCCCCGGGCTGCAGTCCTCCCCTACTCTGTGACACCTTCCCTCCAAGGCAAGGGTTTCATCACCAACCTGCTGTGCTGAACTATAAATGGCCTGGCCAATTTCTCAGCCAAATTGAAGGGTCAAGAAAAGAGGCCGCCGTATTACCGCTTCTGTCGCCATGGAGACTTTGTAGGGAGCCACAAACTCTGGAAGACCATCTCTGCTCTGCTCATATACCCCCAAACATGGTCACACTCATACACATATGCTTAAGTATCAGCAAAGTTACCCAAACTCATTAAATTTCACACAGTCCTGGAAACTGACCAGAATTGAAGCAATGTTCCTCTTATCTTGAGTAAGATGACAGTTTATGGAAGGTGTTTGAGAGCAGAAGGGGCTTTAAAGCCTTGTTTAATAAAATCAGCACTCAGCTGTGAACTGCCAGAAAGGAAAAGTAGGCCAGTTTGGGTAGTATTTATGAAGCAAATACCTCTGACCACTGAAAATTTTCCACAAACAAAGCTATGCTCTTCAGACTTCAAAAAATAGTCTTCATGTTGGCAGATTTGCTTCTGCTCAACAAAACAGATTATAATCTAGCCTAAAATTTTCCCTTTAAGACCCAGTAACTAGTTTTGGATCTTAAAAACAAAATGTTACCAAATTTAAATCTTACTAGTTTTGTGCTACTGATACTATAGCACAAGAAACACTGAAAAAGTTATTTACTGTCACAGTAGCAAAGACTACATTAGTTACACAATAGATTAATTAAATAGCTCTCCGCAGACCTATGATCCTAAAATAATCTGAGAGCTACACTGTGGCTACTTCTGTCTCTTTTCCTTCCCATTAATTTGTGCTTCTATCTTCTGTCAATTGCATGTTATTAACAGTGATACATCCTTATAATATAAACATACACATAATATATATGTACAGAGTGTATATCATATATAGATAAGTATATGTACTATGTACAAATAACTAGACAACTTGACAAAATTTGTTTCATTTACCCGTGACAGTGACCCAGGTGGAAGTTCTTAGAATTTCTGTTTTACAGATGAGAAAGTGAGTTATGAAGCTGAAGTAAATGGTTGTATTTAGGGAGGCAAAGTAAAACAAACCCATCTGTTCCAGAGCTTGGGCTCTCAGGCTCCTCTGAAGCAAGGATTTGTCTTGGGCAAGAAGTCCGCCCACATACCTGACACAGAACTGTCATTCCAGGAACAGACATTTCATTCACTGCTCAAGAACTAGGTGACAGAGTGACACCAGGGCGCTCTGTCTTTGCCTGTTTCCTATCTGCAGTGGAATAAGGCTTGATATCAAGGTCAGGCTTTTAATTTCCTTCATGCTCAGAGCATGAAGTCATCCAGGAGACCCAGTGCACATCTGATGGTTGGCCTAAAATTAAAGGCGAGCAGCCATAAAAAGCCCTGAAGAAGATTCCAGCATGTGATACTGGGAAGGGTGATACTAGGGACTGATCAAAATTCAACACCAGTCACACACCAATCCAGACCCAGCCAAAGGCACTCAAACAACAAAGCTGAATGACAACGATCCTCAAATGTTCCAAGAGTATAACCCAGCAGAAGATAAAATTGTAATGATACATTCAGTCGAGATTGAACCAAAGATAATGTCCAGGAAAACCAAATTAAAGTTGTCTACAATGAGAGAGTCTGTGTAAAATTAAAATTACCACTTTAATACGACTATGTATTTATGTAATGATATTGTATATTCACAGAGCATATTCATTTATATCATCCCTTTCGATCACCCCAGTTCTTTGAGGCTGAAAGGGCAGGTCTTATTATCATTTTCATTATTATGACTTCATCCTTTCCATTTTAATGTGTGAGAATATTAAGTTTCTGGAAATTTGCAGCTGGCTTATCCAGTTAGTAACTAGCAAACACAGGATTCAATCTTGGCTGTACCAAGTCTTTTTATTATACTAGGAGTCCACCTTCAGGAAACCAACAGAAATTATTGCTTGCAAAGGATATTAAACCCCATTTTTTAATGAAATTCTTTTTTTACTTTATTGTTAATTTGGGAATAGTATTCGATTTCTCTTTGAACTACAGTCTCTGTAGTTCTGCTACCACCATAACACCCACAATTCCTACTCCTAAGAATCTATCCAAGAACACAGAAACACAAATTGAAATAAAACCTGTCCTCCTATGTTTATTGTAGCACTATTTATGATAGCTAAGACATGGAAACAAGCAAAATGGCCCAAAACAGATAAATGGATCAAGAAGAAGCACTTACACACAAAGGAATACTACTCAGACATCAAAAGTAACACATGCCATTGGCAGCAATGTGGATGGATCTGGGAGTGATTATGCTAAGCAAAATAAGTCAGAAGGAAAAAGATAAATATCAGATGGTTTCACTTATATATGGAATATAGGGAAGCTAAAAAAGGGCCAGGAAAAAGACAAACCTGGCAAGCTGGCCAGAGATCTGAGGCATCCAGCAGGGAGGGAGAAGGAAGAGCATTAAATCCCATTTGAGAATTGATGGAAGAATGGTCTAAAGTGACCCACACTGGGCA